TTAGTCGAGGGGTAAGGCAGATGCTAGGAAACTCTAGGATATGACTAGAGTTAAACTAGCTCTGATACCAAATGATACTAAAATTAGTCAAAACCATAAAAAAAGAAAATATCATTAAGCAAAAAACAACTAGGGTTACAAGCACCACTCAAACAAAAATGAAAACACAATAACACATTAATATTCGGCCAAAGCTGAGTAATAGCATCTGGAGATTGTGGGGAGGGGGAGGATGCCAAAAACTGGAGGGTCAAGAGTCGGTTGTGAGATGGCGACCCGACGTAGGAGTGAGTGGAGGAAAGGTTGAGATCGTCACACCTCATAGCAGGATTCAGTCGGAGCACCACTTGTCATCAGATATAGCCCTAGCAGCGGGAAACGCTTGGAGACAACAAATTCAAATCAGGAAGACCAAGAATAAACCCTAACTCTGCAAGCAACATATTTATAATAGGTAGATAGAAGGGAAAGGGGGAAGGGGCGGGCGGTAGTTCCCGTCAATAGTTGACCGACTGGTCTAGCCTCCCTATTGGACCAGCTCTCCTATTGTTGAACCACATGATTCAGCTCATAAGCCCCGCGTCATAAGAGGACCTCAAATAATCAAGAGTTAGTTCTATCAGGTTGTTCTTTCTCTCAAATGAGTTCTAGAGTCGGTGACCATGCAAAACATCAAGTTAATAATAACACTTAATTACCATGTTTCAATTGTTTATGGCTCAAACATAATTTGTGATAGCCTAAACCATCAACAATTAACATATTGTAAACTTTCAACTAACAAACCTAGATTTAGCCGTCTTCGTACAAATTCAAAAGGAGTTCACTATAAGCAAGCTTAACCAAAAAATTTGTGATGGAACTCGAGACATTGCACTTAAGAAATGTCTCCATCTTTAAAAGTTCCACATCAATGTATTTAAACAATCATAAAAGTTCCCAAGTGAAAGATTAGACGTTCTCGTCATTTGCTTTACTCGTAGATCTGAATAGCCCGAACTATCATCCACTGAGATATTCTTCATTCTAGCGAAATAGACTCCATGGCTTCATCCGCTTGATGCAACTCCTCATAAAGGTCACATGTTATGAGTGAACTAACTTAATAATGCTAATGGACAAGTTCTCATAAATGTCACATATTAAGAGTGACCTAACATAATCATGATAATGGAAAAGTTATCAAAGTGTGAAAGGCAAATCAAACTTTATGAGGAATTGCTTCATTATTTTTAATAGATCTTAAATACTACATAAAACTTTCTATGTATTGGTTATACAGAAACAATACATAAAACAATAAATAAAATCTTATTTCCATTCTAGAACCCAAAAATCTAAAAACTGCATGTCTTAGGCATGTAGAATACCACCAGACTTCAGCACTTGTACCAAATGAATAACTTTTTAACAATTTGGAAAAAAATTGTATGAAGGCTGGAGCGAATGCCAATCAATCAGGCAATCTATTCATTCTTAACCCATAGAAACAATCAAATCATTGCAAGTATAGTCAAATTAACTGTAAACATCCCAAGTATGAACAGAAAATTTGATGTACCTCAATATAGTAGCTAAATATCAGCTTCGTCGCTATAAGAATCACCCAAAACATTGTATACCTGAAAGGCAAATTAGCCATAGATGTGAAACTGTAGCTACTGTACAACAAAATATATAACCAAAATTTCATTTCCTTACATGAAAAGTGAGAAAGAGCTTTCATGCATTCCCCTTCCTATGAAGAGACAAGGCTGCAAGTATAGAAATAATAAGCATTACGGGAGTTTTTTTTTTCCTTTTAACAATAAAGCACTAAAAAAGTCTCCATATAGTTAAGAAAAAAATCATAGAAGCAATGAATAGATTTTGCTTTCCAGTACAAATACAAATTCATAAAAAAAAAAGCTTGTATAAGCAACTACAACCAAGAAGCTTACAGTACCTGAGACCACCACATCATGAGCATCACTATCTTGTAGTGTGAACTTTCAAGAAACCTTCGCACAACTGGAAAAAGAAATAGCAGAGCCGAAAGCATATTTGGTGACAGATATATCACCACAGCCAAAATATATAAAGATGGTTGGTTTTGACCATTCCCAAGCCAGCCTTTGATAGTCCTTGCAAGTCCAGTAGGATTTTCCCAGGTGTAAGCATATGTCACTGGCAATATTATCACCCATACTACAGATGAAGCAACTTTTAAAATATATCTCAGTTTAACCGCATAAGACATGCTTCTTCTTGCTTTCCAGCTAAGAATAACATCAAGGACAGCTGCAAAATAACAAAGATATTGGATTGTAATATCTAAATGGTCTTATTTAGTGATTCTACATAAACCTTATATTAGTTGGATATTGATGCCAAAGGCGTGTGATAAAAGATGAGTGGACCTTTCAATGACTTCCATAATAAATTAGACCATAGGAAATAGGGCGTTTTATCTGGTTAAATCATATTTATGTATCAAGGAAACCAAAAGAATACAAAAAAAGCCAATAAATAAAGCATTCAAAAAGAAATAAAAACCAAGGTACAGATGAACCCTTCTATATGAAATTCATCTGTCACGGTAGCCTCTCTAATTAAAACAACAGAAGCAAAACGATGACAACTGGCATAAAATTGTCGTTGAAGTTAACGACCTGGTCACTGAATATACATTTAAAGCAAGGTACACTTCTTTATAAAAGATTGCGAGTTTAAACTTGCATGAAACTCCATATAAAACAAATCCAGGGTACTTCTTCCATTACCCATTGATTTGCCTTTATTTAGACAATAATCTGCATTTGCAGCAACTACGGGCTTTACCTAAAACAAATAATTGTGCATCTCACTTATGTTAGTTAGATGTATGCCAAACAAAACCACTTGTTTAGGTTTCTCAAATTAATTTTTTTTTTAAAAAGCAATCACATTTCTCTCCACACGTATTTCACTTGCAGCCTTCACAATTTAATCCTAAACAACAACAACAAC